TTTGGCAGGCATATGATTGCTTCATGCACATAAAGCAATTTGGAGGAATTGTTTGGTCAAGACACAAGAAAATGTTAAATAATGTGAACTACAGTATTCATATTTCAGTCCTTAGTGTTCATATTGATCATAGATACAATATAACTGGTGGAAAACAATGTAAACAAAGTAATCACATATGCCAGTCACTTGCAAAATGGGAAATTCAGTCTTTATTTTGTGGAAATCAATGGTAAATTGTATCACATTGGCATTTTCCTTGGATTCTGTACAACAAGTATAATGTCCTTATTTAGTACAAGGAAGGCTATACTAAATGACCAAATAAATAAATGTGGCATGGAAACCTCTCTTTTGTATTTCAAAAACTGGAAAATTTCCCATTTTGCAAGTGACAGCTAGTTAGCAGCATGATAGCCTTTTTACAGTGTTTTGCAAGAGAAGTTTACTTCTTGAAAAGCTCAGTTGCACTCAGTTAGAAGCAATTATGCACTTGTTCCTTTGGGCCAGACTTAGTTGTGGAGCATTTGATAAGAACAAATATGAATACTATAACAGAAGAACATAAGTACATGCATGCAATCGGTGTGATGATGGTAAAAGTCAAAATCCCAGTGTACCAGGCTCAGTGTGCTATTGGCGGGAAGTGAACTTTGGGGGCGATACATTAAGCTAAACTGTATGCAACTAACTGCTTGTAGCTATATTGTATGGATGTAGCAAAAAACTGCCATTTTCTGACGCCTGGAACACTGTTACATCACATCCAATACACATCCTGCTTCCCTTCCCAGACAGTACTGTTATACAGCCCTTCACACGCCTGCAGGGCGCCAGGTAACATCTCACCTGGGCCAGCGGCACCCCTCTCGGGAAGTTTTCACACTAGGTGGGGAGGGGGCAATTAGCGAACAATGGGCAAAATCTGGAAAAGTAGGGGTCAAAGGTTGTTGCTATGTGTTGCTAGGGGAGACAACGCCCACTTCGCTGGGGGTCTTCAAATTGACTTAACCACACAGAGTGCACCGTTATCGGGGACATTGCGCTTGAGCTTCTGCTTGATACAACTGGCCATGGCACATACCCAAACCCCTACCGCAGCAGCCGACAACCCGCCCAGAGCTGCCCACACGATGTACCACGTGAGATCTGCATCATCGCTCGTGCTAGTAGCCAGCGGTGTAGTGCTGATGCCACTGGGCATCGATGTAGTGCTGATGCTGACTGAGAATGGTGTCATGTTTGAGAGTGTGAGTTCGGTTGCTGTCAGTGTTGTCATGTCAGAGTGTGCGCGCGCGCTCGCCGCAAAGACGGCAGTGTCGGAGCCAGTTTCCGAAGAAGCCGTACAAGTGGTGTTCCCAAAGGACAAGGGCTCGGCGGTCTCAAGCCAAATGGTGAAGCTGGACCTCCCCATGTAGTTAGAACACAGGCTGCGATTTCCTGTTTCCCCGAACAGGTTTTCTGGTCCCTTACATTTCACCCAGCCCTCAGCCTTTAGGTCGGTCACCACTTGCACGGTTAGGTTGCCTGTCGGGAGACTGTCGTGTGTGGTCGTGTCTGTGTCGTATGTTATGTCGAGTGTGTGGTGTAAGCCGTCAGGGAAGGCAAAGGACACTGTCGGCAATTGCTCCCAAAACACGTCGCCAGCGGCCTCGTACTTGTACGCGGCGCTTCGCTCAACATGCGTAACCTCAACCAGCGGTACAGGGCAGGGCAATCCGTCGGGATTGACCGGAGCGGGAGGATTTGGCATCAGCGGCGAGGCGGGGCAGCTTGCTGTCGGGGGGATCCGCATTACCCTGGCGTAACGCCTCTTAAACTTGAACTTGCTCAGCCCCTCGGGGTCGTACAGCCAATCGTTCGCACACGTACAGCGCGGCGGGTTGTCCAGTGAGACAAGCATGAACTTTTGCTCCCGACCTTCCAGCGCCATGGTGGCAATCGCATTTCCACGCACGTTGACATGGTTTGGAAATAACGATTTGAACCAACCACCAGACAGGAAGGTCAGTCGGTTTCTCGCCAGATTTAGAGAAGCCATTGGCTTGTTTGAGTGGAATGCGCCCGCAGCAATGTGGGAGATTCTGTTACCCTCCAGGTTCACGACTCGCAGCCGTTCAAGACCGTAGAACATCTCCACGCCGATAGATCGCAGTTTGTTCTCAGCCGCGCGGACATATTCTACGGACTTGATCGCCTGCAAGGTCCCCGGTTCTACAGTAGCGATAAGATTGGCACTTACGTCAACCCACCGCGGCTGCACTCCCAGGAACGCGCCGGGCGACAGCGTCAGGATTTGGTTGTCCACAAGGATGAGGTAGGACAACCTGGGCAACCCATGGAAGCAGCCATTCTGCAGCAAATCATACTAGTACTGAGCTTCGTATGGTAACATCAGGAAATTGATATCAAAATTATTAACGTATTCCCTCCTCTCCCTTCCTGTATGCCTACTACTGTATGGGATATGGAGAGTGAAACATAACGAGAAAAGAGAACGGCTCAAACTTTTATGTCTGGGAGAAACAATCGACGCTCTGGGGCTGGAACCAAACATGTATTAAATTCAGACTTCAATACGTCTTTGACTGAGTTAGCAGGATCTTAAACATGAAAAAGTTAAAGATATGATCATGAATCTAAAACAATAACATATGATGGATTGTGAGAAACACATGTTAATTCTAAAATCTCACCTCCAGATGTGTGATGTTGTTCTCCAACAGCAGCAGATACTCGAGGCTCTCCATCCCAGCAAACGTGCCGTTCTTCAGAGTCTGGACATTGCTCCGCCAGATGACCAGCTCAGATACCTGTGGCAACTTAGCAAACGCCCCTCCCTCTATTGCCGTTAGGTTACAACCCACAAACCACAACCTGCACACTCTACCACATGGGATCTTTGAGAGGATCTCTGTCTCATCAGTGCCAAGCTTGCCGACGTTGTTGCCAACGATCATGATATTGGTTTCCGTGTATGGTGAAGGGTTCTGAGTGGGTCCCCCCTGGGTAGGCATCGTTTCGTTTGAGCAGATCTGACAGGATTGATATCTCTGAACCAAACGAACAGTTTCGAAGGGGCCATTGTAGCTGGTTACTTCACGCGGGTATTTGGTCCACTTGTACCGGTACGCTCCGATGTCATACCGGTACTCGTGGCCATCGCTACGGCTGTCACCTACACCACACTTCGCCACGGGCACTTTACGGCAGCTCTGCCAGCTACCGGCGTCCACACATGGCACTAGCAGCTGCATAAGCAGCAACAAAGAGATTTTAGCCATCAGCTTTATCGCCATGATAGAGTGTTACGTTTAACACACCCTACAATTGATAGCAATGGGCTACAACAGAAGGTTACATTACCATATTTCCCTTACCAGAGGATTTTACAAGATGTTACCGCTAGTGTCTCCACGGCTGTAGGGTCACCTGGACAGCACAGAAATCAGCCGTGTTGCCGCCGCAGTGGCGCAACTGTGGTCTGATTCCACATCATCATGCAGTTTATTACAGGTTTTGATTAAATAACTCTCCGCTGTATCTAGGACGACATGAAAGAACTGATGAAGCATTCTTAGTCCAAAGATATTTACAAATCTCATTCTTTACGACATTTCTTCTTGAGACAAACAAAAACTCATCATCAACACAGGTCTTTGATCAAAATATACATTGCTTTTTAGCAGCTACCTTGTCAAAAAGCATTTCATTATTTCGTATCTTTCCAAACTCATCTTTGGAGAGAACCTACATATTGTACCTGAAAAATAGCTTTTGCCTTTAGCTAATGACACATTTCCTAACTGGGGCAGAGTCGGGCTGTTTGCCTGAACGAAAAATAAAGAATCCATACATCAAGAATATAGTATATTACACAAGTAGTGCTCATGATTAAAAGTTTTCAATTTTCTTTTGTATGTGGTTGTCTGTTATGTCATATTTTTTTCGTTCCCACAAAATGCCCAGGAGGGCCTTAGCATTACCGTGATGGCTACAGATACATGGAATTTCACCCAACGTGAAGATGCTGCCCGACTAGACGCTTGGAGAAAGATTTGGAGAATCTTTCATAAAAGAAGAATTTATCTTATCCTTATGAAAATGTATGAGTTTTGAACTGTTTTGTCAAATGTATATCTCTATGTATTCCAATGCACACACACGTCAACATTGTGTCAAATCCGTCTTTTGATATATCTTTAATTACGTACATTTCAATTGGGATACAGAATTTTTTTATGTGTTGAATAGATACATCGCATGGGATGATTACAAATAAATAGTTCACTACCCGATACCACACCATCAGCAGACAGGCTAGAAAGATGCAATGTTCACACTCACACGTGTGCGTTTTCGCACTGCACTTGCACTTTCGCACTGTTCTGCCAGAGGGCGCGCGCGCGTGTGTGTACATCTAAATGTGTTCATACGAGTATGTGTTTATACATGGGTGTCACCAAAGGTCCACTGCAGTTACGTAGGGACCCCCCCACCCCCCCACGAAGCCCATATTTACATTTGACCTTGGTCTCTTCAACGGTAACCTGCCTGCTAAAAATCATGAACATTGATCTATGTCTTCAAGAGTTATGCCGCTAAATCCAGTCTCCCACACTAACACTGCACGAAAAGTTGGATTTACCAAAGGTTGTACATTCAGGTAACGTACTATGTACACAGTATCTAGCTTTACAATGGCAGTAAATAACGATCAAGTGCAGTAATTTCCTTTACAACCCTTGTTAAGCCCTTGTATGGCTTCCTCAGTCTCTCCATAAGCCCACACTGTCAGCGGAGTTCGTTTCCACATCAGTTCACCCAAACAACAAGCCTCTATGAGCACAGGCATTCACAGGGAGCTCAAACAAATTCTTGGCATGTTTGTCGATCATTTCGCGATGGTCATTGGCTTCCCGCTGTATCCAAGGTTACCAAGCTGAGACACCTAATACCCCCTTCTTACAACAGACACAACAAGCTTAAGGTGCGCAAAGATGGCTGTACTTGGACGTTCACTTCGTCGCTTCACCATCTTGGTTCTTTTTCTCTGCCTTTTCACGGGCAGGTAGGTGGCGAAAACACGTAAAAGGGGGCTTGTTTATAGTTTAACATTCAAACTCAGCAAGTATAAGGATGGTTATATGCTTCTTAAGATATAAATTTAAAGCAGTAAAAAAGTAGTTTCACTTTCAAGTTATGAACTGCGTCACAACAAGGAAGTTGTGTTTTTCCCCTTCTGTAGACGCGTGAATAGCTTTTTAAAGAGGATTTATTTTGATGAACGACCAGAAAAATCACTTATTAGGTATTTTGTAATCCTTCTCTGAAGTACATCATGGAGGCGGCGGCGGCGTAGAGGGTGTACCTGTTCTTGGAACAGTTGGGGACCGTGGAGCTCGTGTACCGATCCTTGTGGAAATATCGGTAAAGCAGCAACCTTTAGCTTTGTAATCTCGCAATTTTAACTTTTTATAATATACATATACTTCTCTTCACTGCTGCAAACTGCTGCAGACTGCTACAAAGATCTCCGCTTTCAAATTGTACAGCTTTGACTTAAATAAATATTTCAGCCTATCAACCTTGGTTAGCAACTTTCTGTCGTCTTCAGCTTTAATTTTAAATTAGTCAAGGTTTACCAAGTTTGACAATTTTTTTTTCCAAAAGTGAATTCATGTTTATGTGTACTCTCCAAGCAGAGGTTAGGGATTTGGCTTATTTTTAGGCGTGTTTTGAGGCATAAAAAAGATAACAGTGCAAAGAAAGGCTAAAAGTAAGCCTAAACCCAAAACCTCTGCTTGGAGAGTAGTTTATGCGTACATTTATTGTTTGAAATGCAATGTTTATGTTTTAAGGCACGAGGACCCGAACCCGCGGCGGCTCGTGCTGCAGTACTACCGGTACAGAGACGGCGGCCTGTAACCGGTTCTGCTACAACAGCGGGACACCGTCCGGTAACGCCTGCATCTGTACCTCTCAGTACGAGGGGCGGTGCTGCGACGTCGCCAAACCGCGCGGTAACGGAGGGTACAATCCACCAGCAGGCGGAGGTGAGTTTATACCCTCGGTGTCAGACTACTATCGGCCCTGGTTCAGCTCCCCGTAGCGGTAACTTAGATAAGCGAGCGAAGTGCTCTTGGCTGCCGAATATAAACGGCTAACGGCCCGATACTAGTCTGGCACCCAGGGTATTGGTGAGTCTGTACTATTATAGTTTTCTTTTCAAATACACGGTTACAAAAAGCAACGTTTTAACTCTTGTGAGACCTTCACCACGGCAGTAAACATTTCTTGGTTAACAAGGTTTATGATGTCAAAATTTGAAAATGTAGGAATCTTGTTTTTTTTTTTGCCCGCTTGGAGTCTGCGGAGGATGCCAACCTTTCATTGTGCGCAACGAAACTAAACATCTTAAAAGATGTTTAGTTTCGTTGCGCACAATGGTTCTATTCAATTGAGGAAATGGAATTAGAGGCTACCGCCATTGCTGACGTGCCTATGGAGTAAAATAATTCGTTTTCAAGTTACTTCCGGGTAAGGAAGCACAATTTGTGTGGCTTAAGTTTAACTGTGCGTTTGTGTCCGTTTATTCGAGTAGAGAGTAGATTAACAGCACCGCTGGGGAAGATTGACAGGCAGAATGACAGGTCACAACGTCAGACATAGGAATTCGAAATCGGGGATGAACCTGAAGATCACGAGAACCCAGAATACTTCCCAGAAGACTGTTTTTATGCATTTCCCCCAAGATTAAGATTCCCCTATGCAAAAAATTACTAGCCGATGGCATGCACATGTATTGTATTTGACGACACGTTAAAATATCCCGTTTTTGCAGGGGGCCTCAACATCTTTCAGCAAGGAATCTCCAACAACGTCAACGTTAACCATCAAAGCGGCTCCAACAACATTAACCAACAGGGAAACAACGTCCACCAGAGCACCACTCTGTCGAAAAACGCGAAACTCGGTATCGCCCTCGGTGTCTCTTTGCCACTTCTATTTCTGATACTACTCATGGTCGTCCTCATCCCTCTTTACGCCTGTAATTGATGTGGCTACAGAGATCAAACCAAAAATAACACCCGAGACCTATTGCTTTCCAAAAGGACGACAAATTTGCTACTTGATTGATTAATTACCCTCTGTTTTATCATGTTTACCGCGAGTCTCACTCGGTAACATAACTGGTGACAATGCTTTATTCATATTAAACGGATATAGTAACAAGAGAACTTCATAAGATGAGGAAGTACGTATATATATATATATGCACAGTTATTTTATGTTTGTTTACTCCTAATAGACATTCGTCAAGAGCGGGTGTACTGCCTGACGCATTAGCGAATCACCCTCATATTGTAGGATTGTGTCAATGCTAAGAAATGTTCATTGGCGTGCGGTACTCGCAATTTTGTTTGCGTCACTAAGACACTATTTCTGGTAGTTACCTGCCATACTACTCTGAATACTTACTCCATTTGTGGCACTACTAATGTAGAGGGTAGGACTTGTGTCCTCCCACCAGTAACAGATCTGGTGTGAATTATTAAAGATCAATAAAGGACAGGGACCCACGAGTCCCTAGATCAGTCTTGTCCAAGTCGTGGTCGAGTGTGAACATCCTTCTAGCAGGCTTCAATATATATAACACTGACCCTACTGCAGGCACAGAAAAGTGTTTAGGTTACGATCTTTTAATCTTAAAAATCAATAGTTTGGCATGAATAAAACGCCGTTAAAACGATAGAGATTGGGGCGGAGGCGATATAAATTGAGTTGTAAAGTGAATTTGATATGAAGTGTGTGCGCTGGACTTTGGGTTATTTTTGTTTTTAGGCTTTTTTATCGGGGTTTCTTTTTTTACACTGGAATTTGTATTCACACAATTTTTTTTGAGTGGTCAGGAGCGTCCCCTTGACTCAATTAGAATAGGCACCACGTGAAGTATTGCGACAGACAGGATCGTCACTTTTGTTTACCCGTTCGCTGTTGTGTGAAATGCATCGATTCCTCAGTCTGTCTAACCCCACACCAGTTACAACCTGTCAGGACAGTCCGTTTCCACATTACTTTACTCGAAAAACTGGCGTTTACAAGCCTCTATGAGCCAAAACAAATCTCAGGGAGCCAAAACAAATTCTTGTCATGTTTGTGGATCATCTCTCGTTGGTCATTGGCTTCCTGGTGACGTATCCAAGGTTACCATGCGGAGCCCGGGGCCTTAATTCCGATAGACACCTGATACCCCCTTCTTACGTAATTACAGACAAAACAAGCTTAAGGTGCGCAAAGATGGCTGTACTTGGACGTTCGCTTCGTCGCTTCACCACCTTGGTTCTTTTTCGGCACATGTTCCATGTAAGACATCACGAATTTAGCGCGGCGCGCATCCAGGCAAGCGGTGTCCTCGCGCCCACTTCCCGATCGTATTCGCCATGCCTGCCCGGTGTCACTGCGCCCAGTGCGTACCAGTGCGCCCAGTGCGTACGAGTGCGTACCAGTGCGCCCATTGCGTACCAGTGCGCCCATTGCGTACCAGTACGTACCATAGTCATAGAATGTGAAATATCACAAGAACACCCGTCACCCAAATCACGAAATCGCCAGGACACTTAACCAAAGTTTCGGGGCGTAGCGATTGTGTAAGCCATCACGAAACCGCCGGCAAATGCACTTGGGTACACGGCGCCAGCGTTGACACAACCCGACACGACAGCGTCCGAGCGTGCGGCAGACACTGTGCGACGCATCACGACCGACAACGCATCACGAATTTTGCGGGACACGCCAGACTTGCAATCCGAGTGATGCTGCGCCGGATTTCGATAGACGTTCGTGACTGCTGTCACAAAATCGCCGGCGAACGCATCACGAATTTGCGGGACACGCCAAACTTGCAATCCGAGTGATGCGGCGCCGGATTACGATAGACGTTCGCGACACATCACGACCGGCAACGCATCACGAATATGCGGGACACGCCAGACTTGCAAACCGAGTGATGCTACGCCGGAGTTCGATAGGCGTTCGTGATCATGACTGCTGTCACGAAATCGCCGGCAAACGCACCTCACGGGTACACTGCGTCGGTACACGGCGCCAGCGTGTACAAATCCCGATACAAAGGCGTCCGAGCGTGCGGTAGGCACGACATTTGGCGCATCATGGCCGGCAACGCATCACAATCCTGCGGAACAGGCACGGCCTGTCACCCGAGCGACGAATGCTTCGCATTGACACGACGGGCGTTCGTCTAATTCACCGGCGGGCGCAATTAGAGGCGCGGCACACCCTGCCCCGCGCATTTACGCAAGAACGCGACGTTAAATGTCAGAAAAGTCAGAAAAGTGAAGCATGAAGAAAAGAGTTTGGGCTGCTGTAGTGAAGTCACTGTAGTCAGTGTAGTGAAGAATACCGCGAGAGGTGACAGATATGGGAAGCGCCGTATTTGTAGTGGTAGTACCTGTAGTATCTGTAGTCAGGATGATGAAGAAAAGAGATTGGGCTGCTGTAGTGAAGTCACTGTAGTCAGTGTAGTGAAGAATACCGAGAGGTGACAGAAATGGGAAGCCCGATTTTGTAGTGGTAGTACCTGTAGTATCTGTAGTCAGGATGATGAAGAAAAGAGATTGGGCTTCTGTAGTGAAGTCACTGTAGTCAGTGTAGTGAAGAATACCGAGAGGTGACAGATATAGGAAGCCCGATTTTGTAGTGGTAGTACCTGTAGTATCTGTAGTCAGGACTGTTAGAAGCACGAAGAAAAGAGTTTGGGCTGCTGTAGTGAAGTCACTGTAGTCAGTGTAGTAAAGAATACCGAGAGGTCACAGAATGGGAAGCCCGTATTTTGTAGTGGTAGTACCTGTAGTATCTGTAGTCAGGATGATGAAGAAAGAGTTTGGGCTGCTGTAGTGAAGTCACTGTAGTCAGTGTAGTAAAGAATATGGAGAGGTCACAGAAATGGGAAGCCCGATTTTGTAGTGGTAGTACCTGTAGTATCTGTAGTCAGGACTGTTAGAAGCATGAAGAAAAGAGTGTGGGCTGCTGTAGTGAAGTCACTGTAGTCAGTGTAGTGAAGTTTACCGAGAGGTCACAGAAATGGGAAGCCCGATTTTGTAGTTGTAGTACCT